GAAGTGAAAGACCTTTACAGTGAAAACTACAAAACACTGCTCAAAGAAACCCAAACAAATGGAAAAACTTTCCATGTTCTTAGATAAGAAGAGTCAACATTGTTACGATGTCCATCCTACCAAAGGCAATCTACAGATTCAACACAATACCCATTAAATTACCAACATCATTCTTCTGAGACTTGAAAATGACAATACAGAAATTCATATGGAAACATAAATGATCGCACATAACCAAAACAATCCTCAGCAGAAGAAACAGTGGGAGATATCATACTCCAGACTTTAATCTTTACTGTAAACTACAAATAATCAAACCATCCTGGTATTGATACAAGAACAGACATATAGACCAATGGAATAGGAATGAGATTCCAGAAGTAAAACCTCAATTTCTCAACCAACTCATCTTCAGCAAAGCCTTCAATAACAATCACTGGGGAGAGGATAACCTATTGAATAAATGGTTCTGGGCAAACTGGCAGTCAACATGCAGAGGATCGAAACAGAAACCCTACCTATCGCCATACTCAAAAATCTACTAAATGGATCAAAGATCTGAATGTGAAACCTGAAACTACAAAAATCTTAGAAAACATAGGAGACACCTTTATAAGAATTGGAATAGGCCACCAATTCCCGATCAAAACCCTAGATGTCCATGCCATAAGAGATAAGATAGACAAGTGGGACTTCATTAAACGTAAAAGCTTCTACAAAGCAAAAGGAACCATCAAGAGAATGAGAAGACAATCCCAGAATGGGAAAAATACTTGCCTGTGGGAGTCCTGCTCTTGCCAAAGGCGTGAGGTTTCCTGAAGGAGAGACGGATAGACGAAAGATGAAAATAATACTCGGACACCTGCTTGCTGAACAGGTGACATCCTTTATTAGTTAACAGAAAGCTTTTATACTGTTCGTTAAAGCGGCAAGACAAAGAAAATTCCTTCATGTACATATCCTTTAAAAGTTACCGCCATCAGCCGGGCTCGGTGGCTCAGCCTGTAGTCCTGTGCCTTTGGGAGGCTGAGGTGAGTGGATTGCCTGAGCCCGTGGGTTCGAGACCCGCCTGGGCAGCGAGACCTCATCTCTACAATAAATCAAAAAATCAGCCGGGTGTGGTAGCATGTGCCTGTAATTCCGGCTACTCGGAAGGCTGAGGCGGAAGGATCGCTGGAACCCAGCAGGTGAGGCTGCGGTGGCCGGGAGCGGCCACTGCACTCTAGTCGGGGCAACCGAGTGAGACTCCAACTCAGAAAAAAAAAAAGTTACCACCATCTAGCGGTCTTAGAAGAAACGAACAAGCCAAGAACACTATCTACTTTCAGTTAATGAGTCTTGAGATAAGTTTAAAAGGAGTTTCACTTAAATTAAACATAATGCATACAAGGTTTACTTTGATTTCGGTTCCACATCACTTGTCTAATTAAAAAGCCTTAAAATCACTAAAACAAAACTATAGATTGTACCTAGTGATAGTAGGAATATGAAGTCCATTAACTTGACCAAACAATAGTGGCTAGCGTTTAAAGAATAATTATGAAAGTGACTTACTGTGAAAATATATACACTAATCTTTACTCTGAATAAACATATAAAGTGAACCAAACATAATGAAATAAAACTAACACAACTGAAATTATTATGGTTGCATAATTGCTAATGAGCTTTTAAGTTTAGGATAATGGTGATTTGGCTGTTTTCCCTTATGCTTGGCAACCTCCTGGAAAACATTTTTGTTTTAAGATAGGCACTTGAGCAATTATTATTATCTTTGAGGCACCAATTTTATCATTGTGTGAACTTAAATTTATGAACTTAAAACAATCTTCAAAGTAACAAACACTAAACTATAGCATTAAAACTTCATTAATGACTCAAAGTAAAAACCTTGTTAAACATAACCAGAGCCTAATAATTTTTGCCAACCCTCATACATATGTATATTGATTATATAAACTTGTATGATATTACATTTACCAATTACAATTAATACATGGATAAAACAATTATCATGTCTAGAATAGCACTGCCAACAACTCTCTTCAAAACAGTCCCAAATCACAGTCCTTGAAGTGCTTCAAGAAAGTTTCCAGGTGCACAGTTCTTCATGTAGCAGGAGTTTTTCTCTTGGTATTTTATGACCTTCAAAGCTTTGTAATCACCTTTCTTGTCCAGGTGTCTTCATTACTTTTCTCTTATCCTGCAGTGTTTATTTCTAAAGAAAACTCA